GTGGTCATTGGAGTTCAGGGTTTTTTCTTTTTTCCCCAAGGCACGAATAATTGTAGAGAAATGACAGCAGCCACAGTTGAATCAAGCTGCGAGCTCGGAAGCTGGTGTCAGAATCATTTATACATGCTTTTCTACACACTCCCCAATGAGAGGCTTACAGCAGCACCCTTGTCTGGGGGCGGGGGGCAACCATGCGCGCGCGCGTGTGCATGTGTGCATGCGTGTGTGTGGGCGCCGAGCGGGGCAGGTCAGTATCAGCTCCCTGCTCGTCTCGTCTCTTACCATCCTGTGTACAGGCTCCCAGCAGATTAATGATGTTCTTGTGCTTGCCGATGATCTTCATCATCTCCATCTCTGAAATCAGGTCTGACAGGTCTTTCTCTGTAGCATCAGCTGCACATGGTGAAAAAAAAAGTAGAAAAGAAGTCATGTTAGACTAATCAGTACTCATTCTGCTGGTGAAGAGGCAAAAGAAAGGCTTCCCGGTTGTGACCTTGCTAGATATAAACACCATCGCTGCAGCTGTTTAGTAACAGAGTGCTGTTTGTTGTTTGCAGAACGCTCCTTGGGGAGGAGTACTTAAAGCACAAGACAATAAATGCTACTTTCCCTCCATCTTCACTCCTCTGTGGAGTTTAATGAACACCATTTTATATGAGATGGCAAGGGTTCTCATAAATTTTTACTCTGCTCTCCCATTTGCTTCATGGCAGGGATCCAGTTGTAGATCCCTCTCATCCAAGTTTTTTTTTTTTTTTTTTTTTTTTAAATGTCCCTAAAGTCCGGAGATCGCCCCTTTCTGCCCATTTTTTTACACCCTAAAAACTTTCCTTTCTGCAAGATGTAAATTACCCAACTTATTTTTGTAAATCACAAAAATTACCAGAGAGCTCAGATTAACTCTTTAGCTAAATTGCTTACATTTCAACATTTTCACCGCAACCTTGGTCACACGGTTCGGCTTCTCCTTGTCCAGACCCAGAACCTCCCCCATCATCACCTGACCGAAGCAGCCTTCACCCAGCGGCTTCCCGAGAACAAGTCTGCGAAGAGGAGAGAGGATCGTTGAGGAATTTCAAATGAAGCAACAGCATTCAGCTGCTAAGTGAGTAAATATTGTTTACATAGCGCTTTTACAGGTGAAAACCACAAAGTGCTTCAAAGAAGCTACAAAAGTAAAAAGTTGAGCACTTTTGAAAATAAATTGCCTCAAGAAATAAACATGAAAGAGGTGCTAAAGCAAACCACACATAAAACAACGTAAATCAAATAGATGTTTGTAATGGAAAGCCTATAAAAACAAATTCTATTCAATTTAACAATACTATATTTATCCCAAATGGAAATTAAACGTCGTAAATCAAAGTATCAGCCATCTCTGGTAGCAGTAGGTCTTTCTGTGAATCTGTAGAAGCCTCTGACTGAAGACACTGTTGCTCCATTTCAGCTGACATGCTAACAGCAGAGATGATATTACACAGTAACTTTCCCTGGATGACGCCATCAGCACTGCTAATCCACCTTGTTTGCTCTTGCCGCGACTCTTTAAATCCCTGTCTGGCTGTTTGGCTAGGAAGCAGGACAAAAAGAAGATGAAGTTGTGGATATGATCTTTGTTACTACAAAGAAGATAGAAGAGATGGTTAGGGTTAGTTGGGTTGTTACTTTGCTCTGTAACAAAGTCTCTTTTCCGACTCCCCTGGGATTTTGGGTCGTGGTTCAGGTATTATTTGAGCTTTTGAGATGCTAATCAGCTGCTCCCAGTTGGAAAATAAATACCTTGTTGCCACAGCTACATATCATAACTGTCAGAAACTAAGAGAAAAAAAATAAACTAAGAGCAAAAAGCATTCCAGCTACGCAGGGAATATTTTTCCAAACATGCAATGTCTCAAAAATAAGAACAAAGAGCTAATCCAACATGCTGCCATCTTGAGAGACGCAATTCCATAACAGCAAATTTCTAGAAATTTATTTTAGATGCTGTTTAAGAGAAAAAGTCCAAAAGTGGAGGAAGGATAACAGAATCAGGCTAGGCTTGTTTCCTCTGGTCTAAACAAGAGTCTTTGGCTCTGACCAGATGACCTCAGAAAGCAAAAGAGTATATAAATACTTAAGAAGTTACAACAGATGTAAAATTTTTCTCTATCTTGTGTTTGCTGAGAGGAGTTGTAGCCTGACTGGAGACAGCAAATCTCCTTATTCAAACATGTACAAATCCTGTACATGTTGTCCGGCATGAAAGCGCGGACGACGACCTCCAGCTCAGTTGGCGAGACGACGGATTCAGCGATAGTTAGAAAGTGTGCAGCAGGTAGAATCGACGACTGCGCCAAGCACCAACGAGAGGCAGGAGCCACCATAAATTTACAGCCGAACGAAGACCTACTTGTCTCTGGGGATCTCCCAGCGGGGATCCTGCGGTAGCTCATATTCAGACACTCCTGTCAGCATCGGAGTGCCACTGGAGGAGAGGCGGGAGGGACGAACCAACATCACTCCAGAGTGGATGGAGGAGCTCGAGTCCACAGACACCTAAAGGGAAAGAAGGGGGACATTACTCCTCTCAAAGTGGAACACACACAGATATGAGGCATTTATGAAGCCAGTAGTAACGCCCTGGTGCAATTTCTGTAAAAAATAAATAAAAAAATCTCAGTAGTCTTCTTATACGTACCTGATGTAAGACCTACAACGCATATAAAGGAGTCAATGCGTTTAGAAATGTTAGCTAAACATAATGAAAAGCTTTGAGTTTATAAGACAGAGTGAGCCACCGCCAGAAGGAAAGATGAAGGAGTATAAATATGGCAAACCCCCTATCTACTTTCTGTTACCTGTCTGCGCAGAGGGATGCTTTTGGCCAGCTTGTGGACTGCCAGCTGACTGTTGAAGTCGCTCTTCTTTGAGGAGGCCCGAATCTTGAGGATGATCACGATGGTGATCATGATGGCGATCAGAAAGAAGCCCACACAGTAGATCACCACCTCCAAGTAGGTGTTGCTGGACGGGGGGTATGGTGTGACAGCTAGATGAGCAGCGGCGTGACAGAGGAGCGGGGAGAAGCAGGGTAAGCTGTCATGAATCAGCTAAAACTCAGGACAGAAGGAGCTCACAGCAAGGAATGACCAATGCTGTTATACACATATGTACAAAAATAATAATAATAAATCAGCAATGTCGTACAAAGCTTAAAAGTCAGACTCTTTGAACTGTATGGGACAGAAATTCAGCACATTTCACCCTTTCCAATCACACTGAAGTCATATTCTTCAGACGTGCTTCCTAACAACTCTGATTAAAATAGAAAAGTGATTGTTTTGATCTTGCAAAAACATTCACACCTCCAAACTTTTCACACATTTTCTCAAACAATAAACTTCAACACAAAATAGAACATATTTGTGAAGTGAAAGGAAAAGGATGCAAGCTTCTCAAAAATGTTTTACAGATAAAAACCTGTTAAGTGTGGCACGGTAAATGCATATCCTTAGCTTGACGCAATCATTTTCAATATCCATCGTTGTAATGGCTTTTTTTAAAATTATTACAATTATTATTTTTGGTTATTTCATTCAGTTGCAGTTTAAAACGAACATGTCATGTGTCGATATAAACAAAAGGAGTAGATGGAGCATACAAAAAAAAACACCAGGATGATGATTTAGTTTCCAAGCCAACCTTGGCTCTCGTCTGACCAACGTATTTTTACATGGCTTGTGACAAACCGCAAAAATGATCTTTGAAACAACAACAAAAAAAGATAAAGCTCAGATATGTGAAGTGTTAAGCTAAAAACGGTTGGAAAATAGTTTTATAAATTAACCTTGATGGTGATGTTTAAGCTGGATGAATATTGGGAATAAATTACATACACGAGGGCTGGATTAACTAATTAATTTAGGAGTATCAAAAATGAAAAGGAGTTGAATACAAATCCACAACACAACTTTTAATGTAAAAGGAGAAGAAACGGTGAATGCATCATTTCCTTCCACTTTCCAACCACGCTGTGCTTTGTATTGGTTTAATTACACAAAGTAACTGCACAGAAACGTACATATAAAGTTCAATTGCTTCTTGGTTTACTGAGGCCATTTGTCCATGAAAGCCTACAGTTCCAAGGATCTGACTTTTAAACACGTTCATTACATTAGAAACAATTATGTTTACTTCATAGTCCATGTCTCATCTTACATATAACTCAACAAGCATTGTGAGGTTTGTGCTCTGCTTCAATTAAAATGGCATCCAATTGATTCTCATGCTTCAATCTTAAACGAGTTGTGTGTTGGTTCTGGTAACTTGCTGCTCATCACACAATACGTTACAAATAAATTACAGAAAAATTGTATTTAGATTAAAAAATAAACCCATCAAATTCAGATCTTGTTTTTTTCCTCCCACTTGATAAAAGCACCAACATTTATTCATACCAGTAGAAAGGGTGTAATAGGTTGCACTTTTCATCAAACAAAAACGAACAAACAACAGTAATAATTTAGTTTGAGAAGCAGTCGCAAATTTGGAGCGGTTGAGAAAACAGTTTTTGTTCGTGTTTTGTTCTACCGATAAACTCTTAAAAATTAAATAAGATTTAGTAGAATAACACATTTCAGTCACTGTTATTTCAGTCTGTTGTAAAGCTCAATTATTTTGACATCACCGTCATTAGGAATGGAAGGGATTAAAATCTTAGGCCTGTTTTTTGGTTGTTTTTTTTTAGGGATTTGCTTTTGCAGCCAAGCGCATGTTACCAGGTCGAGATTTGGATGACATTGTAGCTGCAGTAAAAGCCAAACCTAAAGCATTGGGAGGCAGGATTTTCATAATTAAAGTAACCCTGAGTCATTTATTCAAAACCTGTCCAGCTGACGCTTGTGAAAGGACACCAAGAGGAATCGTCTCACCAAACAGCCTAGAAATTTCCTCGGCTATGGAAATTTCTATCACATTCAGTCGGCATGTAAAAAAAGTTGGATTTGTGTTCTGATCAGCAGCCTGAAGAAATTATTGAAGATTTCATGTCTTCCCATTCACTTTTTCTGAAGAAGGGATTTCTGAAAATCTGTAAATGATTATTTAGTGCTGATGTATGATAGTTATTGTTTAGTTATGTTTTGTAGAAGCTTTTTGTTTATCCAAGTCAGTTTTAATTGGTTCTAGAATGTGTTTGCTAATTTTTATTAGTTATTTGTTTAGTTTTTGTTAGTTGTAGTAATTTTGGTTTTGTCATACTTAGTTACTATATTATGTTTCTGCATAAATCAATTTGGTAATTAATACTCAACATAAGACACCATTTACAAAAAGGTATCCAGTTATTGCTGAACAAACTGACTGGTGTTTTCTCCCAACCTTTGCCGTCGACATTTTGCAGACTAGCATATGTGCTGCCAATAGGCCTATACAAGAAAAAGCACAAAATCTCCAAGACATTCACTCAAAGAGTTGCTGAATGATTAATTAAGTGCAAGTTAATTCAGACTGGCACACAAGTTGCAAAAGGAAGATCCAAAGCTCTGATGATAAGCAATTAAAAAACTGAAGGTTAAACCAGGGTGTGGCAAACCATAAACTACACATGGAGCAGCCTGATGCAAATATCTATGCATCTGCAACCAAAACTATCCTATGAAAGTTATCAGAATCCTGTTTGCAAAACTCTTGCCTGTGTATACAAAACTATGTGAACAACATCAACTCACTCTTGTGGCCTCAGCATCTCTGGAATCATGAGACAAATTCAGTTTCTCTTGAAGGAATGAATTCAAACCACTGGCAAACAAACTTTTCACACAACCATCGATCACTGACAAATTCTCAGACTTGATTAGAAATGATTAACAAAGTAGTTCAACTTTACAGTCTTACTACTGACAAAATCAATATATTTAATAACAACATGGGAATAAAAATCAGATTAATGAGCGGATGAAGAAACAGGATGCGGAAAGGACAGGTTGAAGGGCAAAGAAGCCAATGAGCACCAGAAGCTCTGAATTCAATTATTCTGGATCCACACTGTCCAACATGTGGCAGACTCAAAACAGTAAAGCAACAAAATAAGAATATCACAGCATAAAATCAGCAAACCATGAAACAAGCATGCAATAGAAAGACAATTTACAATAGCCTTTAATTTAAACGCCTAAGTAAGATGGAACAGTCTTACTTTGCATTGAAGTCAGTCAAGTCAACCGCAATGTCCAAAACTCCCAAAATTGAAAAAGGAAAAAACCTTGTTCTCTTCAAGCATTAGGCGTAAAGCTGGTGTCCCAGCTGCAAGTTCTCAGCAGAATCTCTAGTACTTTAGGTTGGAAAACCGAGGAAAGTACTCTTCTTGTCGAGGAATGGAGAGGTTGCTAAGGTAGGTCTCCACAGGTAGACGACTGAAGAGACATTCATGTCTACGGGAATGCAGCAACATGGGTTAACGCAGACCACTTTCTAGAAGTTCTCCAGTGAACACTGTGAAGGTTTGAAACAAATCATCTCCCTGACCAACAGGTTAGAAGAAAAAGGTTCAGAGCTCTTGTGCCTCCATTGGGTTATTCCTGGAGCACTAGGAAGACAAACCTGGAAAAACTTGACACCAAATCCCTAAACTGAACTAAGAATTTTGTGAAGCGTCCCAACTCTAATAGTCATAACTACAAAAACACATTGTTCCTTCTTTATTTCCAATTTAACATTAAAAAACTATAGATGCGCAAAGAAGTTAAAGTGTGACAAGAACTTGTCAATCTTCAGCTTGATCAGCCCTGACCGCTTTCCAAAAACTCAAAAATTAGATGTTTTCCAATCAGTAAACACTCTATAGCTAGACGCCACAGGATTCTTTAGTTTTTATTGGGGCTGAAATGATTAATCGTATAAAAGGACACAATCAGAGAAGCAAGCAAGCCAAAAAAGTACAAAAATGTACACATTTTGCATTTAAAATAGAAAAAAACCCCACATTTTTCTGTAAATATTTTCTACCCAGACCTCAAGTGTTTTTGAGTTTTGTAAAATAAATAAATATAAATACTGCTCTGTTAATCCAAATATAAACAGATTAGTATAGATGTTAAGTCAAGCAGAAGGGCTGAACTTTTCCCATTTTGATGGTAGAAGGAATTTTTTAACCTGCAGATGCTACAAATGATCAAGTAGATTAATATCCTCTAGATTAATGTTATTGCATTTTGGTAATGTTCATCCTCTTACTTAAAAGGAATTTGTTTATTTGCACCTTTTAATGCAATGTGTAATATTGTAAAAAAAAAAATGCTCAAGTGGTTAAATAAAAAATCTGCAGGATGTGCCATTTTTTAAATTCAGCTAATCAATAGAATAATCAAGAGCTAAAATAATTAGTTGTTCTAGTTTTCATCATCTGTAATGGAAGATGTTTAATTTTGGAAATGTTGGAAGTTTTTTGTTTTATCTAAGAGGTAAGGTCAGGAATGCATTTTCAAGGAAACAAACAGACTATCTTGGTAGTGACAGGTTTGTGGACTATGCTAATTGTGAATACAAATTTCTTAAAATTGTTTAAAATATTACATAATTCTGTTTTCATTTTGAATCGGAAAAACCTTTATTTACAGCAACAGCTTTCACATGCTAACAGCAGGAAGAACGCTGTTCTTTAATCTTTTCATCTCAGTTCTAACAGAGGTGTTGTCTTCTGTAAACGGCAGATTACCGCTACTTTTGCAACATAATGACCCCATGTTGAGATGTGCAACTCAAACAAAATATACTGACTGAAGTGCAACCATTACACCCCTAACCAACACCAGCAACACAAATGAGTTACACCTGTGAGAAGACTGACTGACAAGCAGCTTGATAATTGGAGAAGGACCCATTCCAGCATCCTGAGGAATGAGACGCATCCTTTGCAGCGAGCCAATTATCAAAGCTAGCCACTCTGCTCACAGCAGGAAATGACATCAGCAATACATGTCATTTGAAGCGCTTGTCAAAGAAAATCAGCCTGATACAAATTTAAATGCAAACACCCATTAAGTAGCAGAAAGAAAGAGTTCAAAGTGAAATCTGACCACAGCTGCCAAACAACCCCTACTATAAACTATTAAATGTAATTCTAGGTGACATCTCACCCTTTAACAGTATTGCTACTTTCTCAACAGCTCTTGGGGCTGTTTGGCATTTGCCGATTTCCCCCAAACAGAAGAGACAGCAGAGCATGCTTCTCGTGCTCTGCCCCATCTTAAGAGCTAAGATGGAGCTGGAGTCATGCTGAGCTCAAAGGGAGGCTCTGGCTTCCCATCACATTTGTCACTGGAATCGTCGTCAGACAAGACTCGATTCAGGCAAACGTGGAGGAGGACAGCCAGGCTTGAGATGGAAAAATGATAAAATGATAAAATAAAGTGTAAGAAAGAGAGAGAGACAGAACCACTGATACCTTCCAAGACTGTCAACCATGCGGAGTTATGAGAGAACCCGATAGAATTGCCCGCCAAGCACGTATACTCCCCAGCGTCATCAAAAGAGACATTTCTCAGTTGAAGGACTTCCATTTCCTTGTCCGTGGTGTTAACGCCAGCAGTCTAGAAAATAAAGGAAGTAGACCCAGCAAGGCCCAAGAGGGGAAAAGGGACCATGAGTTTAGGATTCTGAAGGAAAAAAATAAATAAAAAAAATAGAGGAGAGGAGCGTACTCCTCCTCAACACAAGACCATCTACCAGAAAGGCAACACACCCAGAGACCCAACAGGGGGCTCTGTCAGGAAGAGCCCTCCAGTATCTGTTAGTGGAAAAAGGTTGTTAGGCTGAGTCTGCACTGCTGAACCTCGCTTTGGGCCACACCATCACCACTTAAAATACCTTCGTCTCATCTCTGCATGCAAGAGATGGGCATGGAAGACTCCGTAGCAGAACAGGGCGTACTTAGGACTCAAGACAGACAATTGGGAGGTATGGAAACAGATAAGTAAAGGGTCACAATTAGAGGAGGAAAAAAACGTGCACAGACAGAGAGGGGGAGAGGGAGAGAGAGAGAGAGAGAGAAAGTTTGTGAGCCGTGTAAAGAGGACTTTGAAGGGCAAGGGAGCAGGAGTAATAGAAGAAGGCAGGAGAGGCCCTTATTAGGAGGGCACCGCTCAGGCATGAGGCAGAAATGAGAGTGGGTCCGACATCAACCTGGGACTAAACACTTTCAACTGTTCTGCTGGGAATTTTCCATAGCGTCATTTACAGTCAGGATCACTGAGGAGAGAGGGAGGGTGGGCAGAACGGATGGAGGGAGGAGAGAAACAGCTGAGCTTGTCTCAGGTTCTAAGTTTTTCCAGGTGGTCCTAGAGACGCCTCCCGTGTGTTGTCCCTGCGCTGCTGCGTGGTGGTTACCTGAGGGGTCATATTTGATGACAGTCAGCCATGCCGACTGATTGGCCTCTCCTATATAATTGGACACTTTACATATATACTCTCCGCCCTCCTCCTCAGTCACATTGTAGAGGGTGAGCATCTGAGCGTCCGAGCTATTGACCCCCGAATGCTAGAAACAGAAACATGTCAGGTGCAGCACAAGAAAACAAAAACTGTAAACAACACTGACCACTGGATAGCGCAACGAGAATCATTTCAGACACAAGCTAATCAAACAAATACTTATTTCATAGGCAGTTGCAGGCTGATGAAAAATTGTCCACAGGGTCCCTACACATTGCTCAAAGTCAAAGTTCAATACTTTCATTGCAAAAACACAATCTTACCACATACTTTTTGGTTTTAGTAATTAGTTTTGTCTAATTTCAAGGTTACTAAGATATTTGAATAAGAATCTAGACCAAAAATACTTGGTAAGGTTTTGTATTTTTGCAGTGTTTCCAGACAATTTCATTTCCTTTAAGCCTATTTTGACATTTTAGAAAAACAAACTTTACTACAGGACTCTTTCACAACAAAGTCATGGTCCATATCTCTACAGCGGGAGGGCGTAGCTGGAGGGAAAGATGGACAGACACAGATGGATGGATGGACAAAAGAATGGGCAGAATAATACATTTGGAGCAAATGGATGAATAGCTCTACAAACGGATGGAAAAATAGATTAACAGATAGATGGAAAAAATGATGGATTAACTGATGACTTTTAGATAGTGGGGGAGCAAATAAAGTCTGGAAATCCTAATATTTTTTGATAATTTGGTTTTTCTTTCTCCAACCTCATCTATACTTTAAAAATAGTCCAAGTTCATGCTTTCAGAAACAGCATAGGAACCCTGTGTCCATCCTACAAAACTACAAAATATTTTTGTGGAAGAAAGAAAAGCCTGCTTGGCTCCTACCTTCAGGATACGAACGTAGGGCAAACCATCAGGTCCAACGCGGCTTCCATTGACCTCGATGTGTTTCAGCCACTGAATGTGAGGCTGGGGATCGCTGAACACTTTGCACTCGAACTCCACATCACTGCCCACCACTGCGGTGCGATTGGCTGGCAAGCCGGCCTGCAGGATCGGCCTGTGGGGAGAGCGCTCTGCGACACGGCAGAGGGGCAAATAAATCTTAGTATGAAGGTAGGTACCTTCAATGAGGAATCTCTAATGAGACTTGAAAACATTCAAAGATGTTTCCTACACAATCTGACTGAGTCTGAGTTATTTATATATAGGCCTAATATGAAGTAATTCAAGTTGTGGATTTAGTGAAAAGTGGTTTAGAGATGTACTAACAAATTTAAGCAAATGTATACCACATAGTTATATTTTACTAAGTGTTACTCTATCACATAAAATCTGAATCAAAGGTCTTTAATGTGACAAAACAGAAACAAAAACATCAAGGGGTATGAATACAGTTTTTTTTTTAATTACATGCATTTAAAATTCCCAGACTGCTAACAAAGATTGCATCTAAAATGAAGCTCTCTTGTGGCTCCACTTCAATAAAACATTTCTAATTTAAACACGCAAGTAAAGAAACCAGACGGATGTCAACTGTGCAGGCCTCTGTGACAGAGACGTACTCTGGTACTTAGTAACCTCTTGTGACTGTACTTTCTCCATACCGAACCAATCCAAAAGCTCATCAGGCTCTGAGCTTCTACTTAAGCTGGAAGGGGAGATTTGGGAGGGGGGAGAGCCCAGGGGACAGCAACAACGGAGGAAGTGGGACTGATTTATAAGGCGAGTGGTGTAAGAGCGAGTCAGAGAGCAGGCCCATAAGGAGTAATCACTTCTCCGCTCTACCCGCATCCATCACTCAACAAGTAAACACGACTGCAGTTCATCAAAACTGCGACTGCGTCCCTGTGCTGTCGGGAGCATGTTTGATTGGCTAATCGATTTATACGACCGGAGCAACAGGAGCGGTAAATCAAAGATTAAGATATTACCGACTACATCCAGCTGATAGGTATGATTGATGCTGCCATACTGGTTTTCCACCACACAGGTATAGTTTCCTTTATCAGAGGGAACGACCGACTCCATGATGATGGTCCACACATGGTCCCGTAGCTGAAAGAAAGGGAAAGGAAATATTCAACTGATTACCATTTAAAAATACTCTAAAATAACAAACAAGACTGAAGATAGTAGCAAATGTTTAAAAATATTCTGATTCATGTCCTACCAAACAATCCCCCCCCCCAAAAAAAAAAAAAACAGGAAAATGTGTACGTTTTTATATGCATGTGCCCAAACCTGTCTTATTAGCACCAACTGATGTCTGGCTCCTTTTTCCAGGACATGTTATAATTTTTCTTCCATAAATCTGCCAAGACCGGTAGTGTGTGATTAGCCAGCAAACCTCTAAGGCAATGGCAACATCAAACATCCATATACACAGACTGAGCCATACAGTCTCCCTCATTTAGCAAAGAAATGCGATGAAGGAGTCCAGCTGCCTGCTGCCAGATGTGTTGTGCTTGGCTTCATA